ACCCGAATTAGTATTATTAAATGCTTCGATCAATCCGCATTTCGGGTCCCGAGTCATGTGGCTGAATCACGTTTTCATAACTGCGGCTAGGTCACATTTTACCGTCACAACGTATGTACAGTACGTACGTACGCATTATGTTAACGATAAAAAAAAAAGAAAAAAAAAACGATCTATCTTTTATGTGAACGATAAAAAAAAACATTATATGAATCATTATATGGAAGGAAAAAAGAATGTTGAAAAAAACATTATATGAATCATTATATGGAGGGAAAAAAGAATGTTGAAATTGTATAATCCATCGTGCATTACATATTGTGAGTTAGTAAAGAATGTGTGAATGTGTTTATATCGTGCACCACATCTTGTGGGTCATCTTCTTGTTGGTCATCTTCTTGTGAGCCTTCTAGTGGGTCATCTTCTTGTGAGTCTTCTAGTGGGTCATCTTGATGGTCATCTTCTTGTGGGTCATCTTCTTGTGAGTCTTCTAGTGGGTCATCTTGTGGGTCATCATCTTGTGAGTCTTCTAGTGGGTCATCTTGTGAGTCATCTTCTTGTGAATCATCTTGTGGGTCACCTTGTGGGTCATCTTGTGGGTCTTGTGGGTCATCTTGTGGGTCTTCTTCTTGTGAGTCATCTTGTGATGAGCGGCGGAAATTTGTTGATTGAAGGGTAAATTAATTCGTTGTCAACTCATAGGGTGTATGAACAGTGTGCGGCTGTTCGTTATTAATGACGTACTCGTTTTGCAATGAAATTTTTTGCAACGAAACACCGTCTGCACTAACAGATAGACTGGTGCAGGTACGTTTGGGGTGATATCGAATACCATGACTCCTAGGAGCCTTTTCATAACGATGGATTTTTTTAAAATAACATTACTTTTTTACTTAGGAGAGAATCAAGTTGAAGGGAACGTCGTCTTTAAATAAAAAATTTCTATCATTCCATATATGTACATATATCGTTCATTAAATTAAACAATCTAGTAGTTATTCCGGACTACGTATTGTACAACAAGGAAAAAAACACAAAACAATAAAG